GTGATCCTTGTACTTGCGATGTAATGTTTTTATAAGCCAACCTTTCTGCTAGGTGACACTTGGCAGCAGTATTCATTGTGTTTTTGATCCACTTCATAGAGACACTTAACAAAAGAGGACTTCCAGAACTGTTTCAGAAAATGGCAAGAACAATGAGATAAGTGTATCTGAAATGGAGGGAGGGGAGAGTATTTTGAGGGGAATTAAAGGCACTGTCTTTTATTATAAAACATTTAAAAAATTTAAACATTCACTGTATATTTTGATCACACTTTCTTCAACTTAGAACAGCTTTAGATTTATCGATTTTAAATTATTTGCTTTCTGCCATGCTGCCTAAGCATTTCTTTATCTCCTCATCTCTCTCCTTTTCTCCCCTTCACCTGCTGGAGGAACAGCATCCCTCCCATGTTTCAACAAGCCCCTCTTAGGTTTTCAGGATCTGAGTGCAGCTGACACATTCTTACCTTTCCTTCAGGCAAGAAGCAGTTCCCCAGCTCTGTGAGAATCTCTCACAAGGGACTGCATCCTCCTGTCTCCTCTTGTCTCCTTTGCTCTTCCTCCTTATTGGGCATCCCATAGCCTGTCTACCTAAAAGAACAATAAGTCAGCACAGTGGAGGAAGGTAACAAAATTAGAAGAGAGAAAACTCATCTCTAGAAGACTGGATGGGCAGAGAAAGTAGTGATCCAGGGATTGCAGCTGTGGGGAATCTGCCTGTGACACATGACTCAGGATTTGGCCCTTGGTGCTTCAGTAATCTCTGAAATCTATGCATAATAGCAATCACTTTCAGTCTGTGTGGTAAAAATAATTCTTTCCAGCCAGGACTTGTGAAATGCCAGAGGACAAATGATGTTTGTATTTCAGTGGTGATCAGTGCATTTTGGGTGAGGAATCCAGCCCAGGTAAGGTCTGTGGGCTGGGACGGCTCACGTTGGGATGAGACGCCTCATCTCACATAGTTTATAAAGAAGCGTCTATTAAAACCAAATCAGTGTCATCTAGAGACTGGAACTCCAGTCTGTGAAGAATTCTGCCTTCTTATTAGAAAAGATTTCTGATTATAAAATCAGAAGATCACCCCAAATGTGGCTTTTTCAATTTAAAAGACCTGGGAATCTTTGGTCCTACAGAAGAACTCTTCTCAGGAAGAATGGTCCCTTTCTTACTATCTTAACTCCAATTTCACGTAGCTACGAATGAACAACCAGATAATTTCAGGAATCCCTTTTAGCCATTCACCTGGAAAAAGTGGTCAGTTCAGCGCAAGATTAAACAGTCTGTCTGAAGCATTGATAGACAGTGAGTAGTATTTAGAAATTTTTAAAAGAAAAAATGAAGCCAAAGATTTGTATATTTTGCTGGGATATTATTGTTATTATAATATAGGGTGGTTAAGGTGCATGAAAGGAAGCCTGTGGTTCATATTTATTGCAATGCTATTCTCAACAGTTTAATAAAAAAAGGCCCCAGGCTCTTAGATCTCCTTTGGGGTTAATAGTAACAGCTTCCTTGTTTTCTGCCAGGCCAGCTCCTATCTGTGGGTCTGGTAATGATTATAAAACATGCCTCTTACTTGCCAGCTACCAGATGCTAATAATCATAGTCATCATAATTCACTGGAATCTTTGGCTTTTAGGTTTTACTTAGTTTGTTTATTTGTTTAAAGGAATAAAAAATAAAATCTTGAGAAGAAACAAAGTAGTATTGTATTATATAAAGGGAAATAATGTCCTGTAAGAATAGCTGAACAGTTCTCTAATTTGTTGGTATCTCTGTCCCTGAGTGAAACTGCTTTTTTCTTTTTCGATGGAAGTCAAGGGGGCATTAGGTTAAAGCAGGGTTTCTCAGCCTTGGGACTGTGGAGATAATTGGGCTGGGTAATTCATTATTGTGCTGGGCACTGTCCTTTGCATAGCACCCACCCTGCCTTTACCAGTTGCCAGCCATGCCAGTAGCACGCCCTTCCCCTGAGTAGTGACAATTCAAAATCTCTCCAGACACCCAAAATGTTGTGCACCCCCCACACACATTTTGAACTGTTGGTTTAAGGTAAAACAACCAATTTAAAAGATTTCATTACTTACCCATTTTGTCTAAGCCAGATGTAGCAGGATTGTGATTTTTTTTTAAGTTAGAAGGAAGCAGGAAGTGATTTGGAGTTTAAAATCACATTTTAGCAATCTTTTCTTGCTGTCTGAGTGAGTTGCAGTTCCTTTTTAACTTCCTGTGTCTGGAAAACACAGGAGACTACTCTTTTTCTTTACCTGTGGGCTATCATGGGAATGCTTATTTGTGAATTAGTCTTGGAGTTGGATGTAGCTAAAGTGATTGATGACCTCAATAAGTTCGTATTTTAATAACCTCAAGTGGAGCCTGACCTGTATCTTTTTTGTCTTTTGCTGGAAGTCTTTAGTAGCTCAGTGTTCCTGGGGATTCATTGGATAAATTGAATATGAGTATGAGTTCCTAGTTTCAAATAAGTCTTGTTATTTGATGCTTTCTAAATCATAGAAAAAGAATTAAAGGGGAAATAAGCATATGCATGCATTTAAAATTGTGTTTATTTTCCAATAAGCTTTTGTAAAAAAGAGAATTCTACCATTTACCTGAATAATTTTGGAATTGGCAGTAGTCGACCAGTCTATTTGTCACACTTGACCTTTTTCGTTCTTTAGTTAATATGGGAGATGTTGGGATCTCATACGTCTGAAGTGTGTGAAAAAATGTCATTGGTTTTAGGGTACTGGTTCCCATTTGAGGTGACATGTTAGAATGACCTGAGGAGTTCTGAAAAGACTCGCAACACAGGACACGTCTCAGACCAGTTGAACCCGATTTTCTGGAGGTAGAGCTCAAGCCTGAGTGCTGGATTTCCTTTCCCTTTTTTCCAGTAAGAGTCAGAAGTCGAGAACCAGTGTACATTTGTATAAAGTTTTATTGGAACACAGCCATGACCATTTTTTTTTTCCAATTGCCAAGAGACCTATGGCTTGCAAAAATATTTATTTTTTGACCATTTGTAGAGAGAAGCCTGCTCACCTTGCTGTGGAGTCACAGTAAACATTTGTCAAACATTTTGAAAAGATTTGTATAAATTTTCATAGTAAAAGGAAAGAAAGTCAGCATTTTGCAGAGCCTGCAGCCTTAAATCTTGTTCGTTTTCTTGTACACAGGGAAAATCAAAAAGCATTTTCCTTGAAGAACTGACTTGCAGATATGCCAGACCTGAAGGAGAATAGCTCAGCTCCCAGAGTGGGAGGCCCTATTGTTGGTATTAGGGCCCTTTGCACACACCAGCCTGCCCGAGCTACTAATCAAGGGCTCATTCCTAAAAAAAATTTTTGAGCTCTGGAGAATTTTACAGATTAAAAAAGTAATAACAAAAATGGAACTTTTCTATTTACATAGCTTCCACCCTTGCTCAGTTCCATTGGAAACTGATGATAGTAGTACCAAAAAGAGTATTTTAGCTGGTCCTCCTTTGGTCACGGGCTCCTAAGCGTGAGAGAAAGGATCAATTATTTCAGCTCCTTGTCAGAGACAAGGTCTGGGGACCAATAGAACCAGCCTCTCTGGGGAGCTTGTCAGATTCTCAGGGTTCTCCACAACTTACTGCATCAGAATCTGCATTTAGCAGATCCCCAGGACATTTGTGTGCCCATTAAAGGACACTGGGAAGTGCTAGTTTTATTGATAACTGGGTACCGCTCTGCATGGTAAACTGCTGCTATTGATTACTCCCTGTTAGTGATTTCATGGCTCCCTGATGGGCTTCCAGACCTGAACTCTCTTGAGAGGGTGGATGCCAGTTCTTTCCCTCTGGCTGTTTTCCAAGTACAGGTTACTTGACCTCTTGTTTAGTAAAGATTTATATGATGGTAGAAAATGAGAACAGAGTGGCTCACTGAGAAGAGATGTCATTGTATATATTTTGAAAAAGTAGAAAAGATAAAGGGAACTTGCTCAGGAAAACCTCACTTGAAAAGTAATTATCACTCATAATGGAGTTGTCTTTGCTTCCCCATGGGGCAAGACTGCACCCTTGAGAGGACACATTTGAGCTGGAAGGATCAAAAATCCTCTAAGCATCTCAAAGTGTCATGGAAATCAGGAATTACCTTTCCACTAAAGCAGTGCTAGCACAGTGCACATGGGCTAGGGTTACTTGGGAAATTGTCCCCTCATAAAAAATATTGAGGAATCCCAGTATCTAATTTTAACCTGCCAGGTTTTGTCAAGTTACTACAATTCTCTTTATCAAATGGCTCTGTCAAGCTCATACTATTTTTTTTTTTTTTACCAAATAGCATTCTAAACAGTTGATTGAAAAACATGATTTTTTTTTTTGAAAAACATGATTTTGAAATTATTTCTTAATTCTGATGATAATTGGTTTGTCTTGAACATTTTCTTTGAAGGAATTTTCTTTATAAGGTCATTACCATTCACAGGGCTGAGGGTAGAAGTGGTAGAGTGGTTGCCTAGCATGCTGGAGGCTCTGGGTTCTATCCCTAGGACTGTGGAGAACAAGTGAAAATCATCCAAATTTAATTGTTAAAAGGTAGTATAAATAAATGAAGTCCAGCTCTGTTCTTGCCATGAGGATACAGTCTTGAGTTGAATGCTTAATATCTATACCAGCAGAGTCTATGCAGGACATAATTTTAAATGATTGTGGAAGTAGCTCTCCCAAACGTATCAAGATCTGGGAAATCCAAAGTGGATAGCACCTTCTGAGCCACCGGGTCATGTCTCTTGAGCTTTGAATGATACATCAGGAAGCTTCGCAGAACTGCTTCTTACTCTCCACTAGCCTACTCTTTTCAGTACTTGTTATTTGAGCATCATATAGCAGGAGGGAACTTAGGAATGCTTTCAAGGGTATTCCAAAATAGAAAAGGCACCATCCTGGGGTTTGTTTGTTTCTTTGTTTTTGGTAATAATTGTAAAATGCAATTTTGGTTTCAATGTGTTCCTTCTTTTTTCTTTAGCAGATGAAAAACTCAGAGAACCGCCATACAGTGAGTTCCCAGTACAGGATGCATTCTTACTATGGGCCTCCCTCCTACCTCGGCCAGAGCATGTCCCAGATCTTCACTTTTGAGGACGGCCCATCTTACTCGGAACACAAAACAACTGGTAGGTGTCTGCTTACAGACTGCTTTCAGGTGGGGAGAGGGTGCCTGTCCAACAGTGGATCACCAGCCCCATTGGACTGCTTCTCTGTTCGGAGCTGTTGGAAAGTCTGTTGTATGTGAAGGTTGGATAAGTATGCTTTAAAGTATTTAGCTATAGAAGATTCTCTATTTTTGTTGTTTTGTGTGTGTGTGTGTGTGTATGTGTGTGTTAATGAGGATTGAACACAGGGCTTCATACATGCTACGCAAGTGGTCTACCACTGAGCTGCAACTCCAAACCTTTTTTTTAAAGACAGAGCTAAATTGCCCAGGTTGGCCTTAAACTTGAGATCCTCCTGCCTCAACTTTCTGAGTAGATGGGATTATAGGTGTGTATCACCACGCCTGGGTTGCTTAATTCTTAAAATAATTTTTTTCCATTTATGAATAATAACTGCTGTGATAAACAGAGACTCCCATTCAAAAGCTGAAAATTATATTCTGGGGAATCAGTATGAAATACAGGATCACTGTTTTCCCCCAGTGCCAGAGATCAAATCTGAGTCTTACACATGGCTAAGAAAACATTCTGCCCCTGAGTTACATCCTCGGCGCCAAGAATTTTTTTTTTTTTTTTTTTGAGACAGTCTCTCTATAGTTCAGGGGCTGGCCTCAAACTTGCAGCAATCCTGCCTCAGCCTCCCAAGTGCTAGGATTACAGGTGTGCACCACCAGGCCCAGTTCAGAATATGGTTCAAATCTAGATTTGTATGTGTATGCATGTGTGCATGTGTGGTGAATTTCTGTGTACTAAATACTTCTTTCTCAAAGATTTTCATTTAAAAATTGAAGATATATTCATCTTTTGGGGGAAAATAAAATAACATAATAAAACTTTTTTAATACAGTACATCTTGGAGTTTATGCAGTAGCAATGCAAATGATTCTGATATAAAGGCTTTAAAATAAAAAATGAATGTTTAATGAACCAAAGCACTTTGAAATACACAATTTTTCAACTTCAGTTTTAACCTTCTCCCCAACATTTATGCTGTGATGGTAGGCAGATCTTTTATGGCTCTGTGCTTGCAGTTGCTGTTTTTGAATTCTTCATATTTATGGATCATCTTTTTATTTAGGAAAGTGAGAAACAAACACAGTCGAGGCCATAGGTGGAAATCAGAGTAGTGAAGTGAGTGACTTGGAAGAGACAATGAACTACCAGAGCTCACCATGTACTAAATAAGTTTTTTCTAAATAATTTGACTCTATAGAGAACTGATTAATTTCCATGACCTATATATTCTGTATTAATGGAACTCCTTATATTAGTATAGCGAATAAAACATAACTTCCCCAGTGTTTTGAAATTTTTATTGTTCTGAATTTGGAAATCAAGGCATTGTTGTGAACTCATTCTGTAAAAAGTTTGAGCTTTAGAAACTAAAGTACACATTGCTGATTGTACTTTTCCTTTTATTAATCACTGTCAGGAGTGGACAAGCACACCTCTTATAAATAGTCACCCTATGTGCTTTATACCTACATGGTACTTCTTTCACACTACCTTTCTTTCTGTATATAAGGATTATAAAATCCTGAAGGATAGAGGACCCATCTCATACTTTTTTATCTGCTGTGATGACTTCCATTAGCTATTTGTTGGTTGAGTGAATGAATGGATTTGGTACATTTTTAAGTGAGCTGGCCCTGTAAGGGAAGATAAGCATGAAAGGTCAGAAGCCTAACTTGTCTGATGCAACTGGTGCACAATTTGCAGATAAAGCAATTAAAGAAATGTTTGTTTATATAGAAAATTAGGAATTACACCCACTTGCAGGAAGAAATTACTGAAGCTTCTTACTTCAGAAATAATGGAATGTTTTTAAAAGTACTGTTGTGCTTGAGACAAAGGCATAAATTTAGAGCAGGGCAGTAAGCAAAACTACAAGAGGCAATTTATTAGAGCAGAAAGGAATGAATCTGGAGAAGAGCAGTAGGCATTTGAATTTATGGCAGAAAGGAAGTGACTCGGAAGGAGAGGGGTTACAGTCCAAGTGAAAGGCCAGTGGTACTAGTGTTCATAGGGAAAGATTACTAGAATTTCTTCCTTCTAGAGGTATGTGCGATTGAAAGTGTGGACGTGAGGAGGCTGCAAGTTTAATTTCCTGGCACCCTCTAACTCACTAACAATTAGGAGCCCAAGCTGTGGAAATGAAGGCTCTAACCAGGATGAACTACAGTGAGATCTCAGTAATACTGTATTTACTTTGGAATTATTGTGGAGAAATAAGTTAATAGAAAACCCAAATTCTAGCTAATATTTTTAATGTAGCTTTATGACTTGTAAATGTGCTCTCTGGGCATGACAGTTTTACAAAGCAAATAGATGAAAGAGGAGGGAAAATGGTAGTTGGAACAAGGAGACCCATGGATCATCTTTTGGGACATAGCCTCTTTAGTCTCATCATCAGCATTTGACAAAGTGGGAAGCCTTTTGGGGCAAGTTAAGCCTTTTTAGTAAGTAAGTAGACCTGAGCAGGAGGCAGCATGTGGCATATGAAAATAGGGACAGTAGTATATTAATGTGAGAAATTGGAAAAGGCTGGCTGATAGTTCCATTTAACAGTACTATCAAAGTTAAGTTGAGTTCCTCTGGTTGCTTGCTTTAATAAATGTTATGATTTCTAAAGAATACATCAATTATTATAAATAGGAACTTATAAATGATTTGAAGAAAAGTTTTAAATAGTCTTAATATTTTCTTTAAAGTGTTATTTTAGTAAATTTATGTTTCTTCAGTTTCTTTAAAGGTAAGTTTAGCATCCAAAGCAATAAGTCCAAGTTTAATGTTTTCCTCTGATCTTGCTGAAGATGGCAAAATGAAAATAGCGTACTGAGAAAAATCTCAAGAGAAATTTTTCTTTTGCCGTGCAGCTACTATTTGATGTTTTTCTTTGTTAAAAAAATCTGAGCCATTCCTTTTCTTTTTCATATCCTAAAAAGTATCAGTAGATGAGAGAGATGGTAGGCTGGATCATGTAGGATGTTTGTTATGGTTTCTGTCTAGATGTCCTCCACCAGCCTCATGTAGTCATAGGGCTTTTTCAGAAGTGGCTGAATCTAGATTGTGTAGTGCTAGGATTAAGGGTGTGCAGTTACTAAGTCAGTGCACTGATTGGTTTGGCACTGCTCTAATCCAGGTAGTCTGGATAAGATAAAAGGGACAGAAAGACACTGTTAAGGTCCCTTGTTGCTTTTGTTTTGTTTTTTTGGTACCGGGTATCGAACTTGGGTCCTTGCGCTTGTACAGCAGGCGGTAAAACCACTGAGCTAAAGCCCTGGCCCCCCTTGTTGCTTTTGATACTTTCTTCCTTCCATGAACTGGTGACCCTCTGCAATGTGCCACTCTGCCTTGAAGCCAGCCAATTATGGATTGAAGCTGTGTACTTGCTTTGGCAGCACATATACTAAAATTGGACTGAAGCCTCTACAAACCGTGAGCTAAATAAACCCTTCCCCTTTAAACTTTTGTTGTCGGATATATTGTCTCAGCGACTACAGAAAAGTAACTAAGACAACATTGTAAGCCATTGCAAGCACTGTGGCTTTTATTTCAGGTAAGATGAAAAGCCATTTGAGGGTTTTGAATAAAGGATGATATGTGTGCTTTATGATTTTTTTTTTTGGTACCAGGGATTGAACTCAGGACCTTTCACTTGTGAGGCAGGTGGCAGCACCACTGAGCTAAATCCCTGGCCCACGATTTTTTTTTTGTTTTTGGTACTAGGAATCGAACTCTGGACCTTGTGTTTGCCTTACAATGTTAAAGATCACTCTTATTGCTGTTGAAGTATAGGTAAAGGTATGCAGAGGTAGAAATAGGGAAGCCAGTGAGAAGGCTCTTGCAGAAATTCCGGCAAAAGATGATAGTGACTTAGCATGGGAGCATAGTGATAGTGACAAGTGGTTGAATTCTGATACATTTCAAAGATAGAACCAATGAGATTGGCTGATGGGTTTGGGAACAACAGAAAGAAATGAATTAGGATTATAATTTTTGACCTGACCAAGTAGAAGATTGGAGTTTCCATTTATTGAGGTAAAGATGACTGTGAAAAAAATAGATGGTGGAGCCGGGGATTTAGCTCAATGGCACCATGCCAGCTTTGCAAGCACAAAGTCCTGAGTTTGATCCCCGGCACAAAAAAAAAAAAAAAAGAAAAGAAGGTGGTGGCAATTAGAAGGTTAATTTTGCACTTGTTAAATTTGAGATATTCACAAGCCATTCATGTTGGTTGTCAAGTAGGAGTTTGACATATCCTTGCTAGAAATCAAAATTTGAGAGCTCAGTGCACAGATGTTATTTGAAGTAAATATGGTAAAATCACCAAAAGAAATGAATGGATATGGTTTGGAAGCCAAGTAAAAAAAAAAATTTCAATGAACAGTGAAACAATGCTGACAGGCCAAATGAGATGAGCACTCAAATTGACTATCAGCTGTTGCTAGGTAGAAATGACAGAAGGCCTTGCTGAGTGGCTGCCTTGGCGGGGAGGTAGGGTTCAAAGCCTGACTGTATATTCAGGAGTCCGCAAGAGAGAAGAATTGGGGCAGTGAGACAGACAGCTCTTCTGGGAGTTTTGGCATACAGGTAGGAGTGAGATGGGGCAGTAACTAAAACGGAGGGGAGTTTAAAAAGGCGTTGTTCCTCTTTTGGTAAATAAAGGAGATACTGTGGTAGGTTTGAATGCTGGGGTAGTGATCTGGTAGAGGGAGAGTTTTGATGGCACAGGGTGTGTTGTGAGGGCATAATTTGGGATGGCAGTGCCTGAGTGAGCAAGACAGGCAGAACCTAGGATATTGATCTTCTGCTGCAGGCTGGTGTGGGTCTGTGGATGCTTTGTTACCAGTATAAAAGCAAGAGTAAGAAAGACATTGAGGATTAATGGAAGCTTGACGTTGTTTGACAGAGTAATTTTATGTCCATTGAGCCTAATAAAATTGTATTTACTGTCTTTC